GTGCTGCGTACTTGTGCTCCTGAGTTGGCTCCGGTCTTAACGCGCCTTTTCCGGTACCTGTACTCGCTCGGCACTGTCCCGAAGTGCTGGAAGACCGCTTCGATACATCCGATCCCAAAAAAAGGCGATCGCTCTGATCCGTCCAACTATCGCCCAATAGCTATAACCTCCTTGTTCTCCAAAATAATGGAAACCATTATTAATAGCCAGCTCTTGAGGTATCTAGAGGGCCACCAGTTGATTAGCGATTCTCAGTACGGCTTTCGTCGTGGTCGCTCAGCTGGTGACCTCCTTGTATACCTTACCCATAGGTGGGCAGAGGCAATTGAGTCCAAGGGGAGGCGCTGGCGGTAAGTTTGGACATAGCGAAAGCCTTCGATCGGGTGTGGCACAGAGCACTGCTCTCGAAGCTTCCAGCCTATGGGCTTCCCGAGAAATTATGCGATTGGATCTCCAGCTTTCTGGCCGATCGGAGCATCAAGGTCGTCATCGACGGAGCATGTTCCGACCTTAAACCCGTGAACGCTGGGGTCCCACAAGGCTGTGTTCTATCCCCGACCCTATTTCTTCTGCATATAAATGATATGTTGCAACTTAGCAACATTCATAGCTATACGGATGACAGCACTGGGGATATTCTTTACACTGGCTGGGCAGGTATTTCTCGGGCAGTTGTTGATGAGTACCGGAACAAACTTGTGTCTGAAGTCGAAACTCTACTACGTGGAGTCTCAGACTGGGGCAGACAAAACCTAGTCCAATTTAACCCCAAGAAGACACAAGTTTGCGCGTTTTCCGCTAAAAAAACACCCTTTATCGCTACTCCTCTTTTCGAAAACACTCTTCTTAAAGCCACAGCCAGCATTGGAATACTTGGCGTTGACATATCGAACGACGTTCAGTTTCGCGGTCACTTGGAGGGAAAGGCTAAATAAGCCTCCAAAAAGCTTGGTGTGCTCAGCAAGGCGAGGCGGTACTTCACTCCGGGCCACCGCATGCAACTATATAAAGCGCAAATTCGGCCCCACATGGAGTACTGCTCTCACCTCTGGGCGGGGGCTCCCCAGTACCAGCTCCTTCCACTTGACCGTATACAACGCAGAGCGGTTCGAATCGTCGACGACCAATCCCTCTCCGAGCGGCTTGATCCTTTGGCGTTGCGTAGAGATGTGGGGTCACTCTGCATCTTCTACCGCATTTACCATGGAGAGTGTTCAGAGGAGTTGTTCGGATTAATACCTGCAGCTGAGTTTCATCATCGGACGTCGAGACAGAATACGAAATTCCACCCGTATCACCTCGACGTCCGCCGTTCCACAACTGAGCGTTTTTCAAGGCAGTTTTTGCCGCGCACCACCACTATGTGGAACCAGCTGCCCACTGAAGTATTTCCGAACCAATTCGACTTAGGGTCCTTCAAGAAAAGAGCGTACCAATTCTTAAAAGGCCGGCAACGCACTCGCGAGCCCTCTGGCACTGAGAGTGTCCATGGGCGGCGGTATCACTTAACATCAGGTGAGCCTCCTGCCCGTTTGCCCCCGTTCTATAAAAAAAAAAAATGTTCCACATGACATCTTAAGTAATTAATAATAATAACATAAATTAAAAACAAAGAGTTGTCCTCTATCAGCAGGAGGCATGGTGAAATAGGAGCACGCACTTACATTCTCGTGGGAACAACACGCAAACACATAGTCGAAATAATTAACATCACCGCATACACGAATTCAAGTACGACCAGTCACCACAAGTAGCACCCGTTCACGAGTATGACGCATGGCCAGCCATCGGCCCCCTCGCCATATTTTAGGGAGAGAGACAACCCGACTAATGGACGCCGCCACAAGCAATGACATTTAAGCGAGCATGACGATCCTTGAAATGTGGACTTGGCTACATAAGAAAATAATAATAATACTGAATTAATTTGATACCACATGGATCACGGTTTGTTCCCACTTTACATTAAAACAGTCGTAGATGTTGACGATCGCCCCAGAGTCTGGTAATGCAGCCGAGAGATTCAGTCGCGTTACCTATTTATACTGGAGCAACTCATATCCAAGCACTAGGATCGTTTAAATATTCATTTATATTATAATAAGCCTTAGCAAGCAGTTTTACTTTAATGTACGATTTAAATTTATTTATTGACAACACTTGTATGATGTATCTCACTAGGGATTTTGTTGAAAAAACGTATACAATTGCCTTGGAAAGAATTACTCGTTTTATGCAGCCTTCTGGTTGGTGCGCTAATTTTGTCCTTATAACGAGTACTTTAATTATGGAAGCTACTATTCTTTTAAAGATATCTATATTTTTCCGCACATACAAAATATTCTCATAAATGTATTGACTTGCCAGAGTCAAAATATGTAATTCCTTAAACTTGCTTCGGACCGACTCCCGTGGGGACAACCCACAGATCGCTCTTATAGCCCGCTTTTGCATTACAAATATCGATTTAATGTCATCTGCATTACCCCAAAAAATAACACCATATGACATTATACTATGAAAATAGCTGAAATAAACGAGCTTTGCTGTGTTCTCATCCGTAAGATCGCGTATCTTTTTTACTGCGAACGCTGCGGAACTTAGCCTATTCGAAAGACCTTCTATGTGTCGTCCCCACTGGAGCTTACTATCTAAAGTAATTCCCAAGAACACCGCATTATCAACAAAGTGTATTTCCTCGTCTTTAATTATTATTTGAGAATGACTACTTTTTACATTTGTAGTTACAAATTTAACACATTTTGTCTTCTTTTCGTTTAGCTTAAGATTATTTGTATTAAACCAGTGAACTACACTGGAGATGGCACTGTTTACGTTATCAAGTGATGGATTTTGTCGTTTCACTTTAAATAAAAGCGAAGTGTCATCAGCAAACAGTACTATCTCGTGAAGCTCCTTTACAAGAAATGGTAGATCATCTATATAGACGAGGAATAAGAAGGGACCAAGTATGGAGCCTTGCGGTACTACCATAGTAACAGAGGATCCCTGTGATATAGCTCCATTTACATTTACCTTTTGAATTCTATCGCTCAGGTATGATTCCATAAGATTTAGCGCTTTTTCGCCAATGCAATAGTGTTGAAGTTTTTTGATTAGGATTTCGTGATGGACACAGTCAAAAGCCTTTGATAAGTCGCAAAAAACTCCAATGGCATCATGACAATTTTCCCAAGCATTTAAAATCTTGGAAATTAATTGAATGCCAGCATCTGCTGTGGAGCGACCTCTTGTAAAACCATACTGCTGGCTATGCATAAGTTTATTATTATTCAAATGTATCAATAATTGTTCAAGAATAATTTTTTCAAAGATTTTACTCAATGCAGGCAGCACAGATATGGGTCTAAAATTTGTGGGGTCCAAAGTGCTGCCCGTTTTGAATAACGGTGTGATTTTACTTATCTTAATCTGGTCTGGAAAGACTCCACAATCTATACATTCATTAAATATTATAGCCAACTCTGAACTGATAGCATTGATTACTGATTGTAAAATGAAAACAGATACACCCCAAAGATCTTTAGTTTTTTTTATTTTTAGCTGTTTAAATGTTTTTATAATGTCATTGTCAGCTAATGCGGCTAAATATAAACTTATGATTGCATACAGGAACATTCTTTTTCAATAATAAAAGGGCGGCTGATGGTGAAAAATTTAGAACGCTGGTTGTATTTAAAGGAATGTTAGTAAAAAACTCTTTAAATGCAGAGGCTACTTCGAGGTCGGAACTAATTACTTTGCCGTTTATGTTCACTTTAAATTCAGTATCCTTTCTGGAGGTTCTTCCAGTCTCCTCGTTTATAATTTTCCAAGTAGCCTTTATCTTATCAGAGCTGTTGTTTATTTTAGGACTTAAGTGTTTCGCCTTAGCGATTCTACACTCTTGTCTAAAACTTTTTGAGAATATCCTAACATAAGTTTTAAATTCTTCACTGTCATTATACTGTTTTTCATCATACAACTCATACAATTTTAGCCTTTTTTTGTGTAACTCCGGAGTTGCCCAGTCACAAAAGGTAGGTTTCTCCGAGACCAAAAAAGTCTTTGGAGTGAACACATTTTTGAATTCACCAATAAATGAATCAAAAAATGTGCTATATAAATTATTAGGGCATTGGTTACTACGCAAAAATGGCATTTTAAATATCAAATTTTTCCTAAATCTGTCTAACCGATCATGTTATAAGAATTGTGCATATTTTCTTTTTTTGATCTTTACATTTTAGTATTTGGAATTCAAACAATTGACCAGAGTGGTCAGATGTAAGTTTGTTGATAAAATACAGGCGTTAAGAAGAACTATATTACTATAGATATTGTCAATACATGTTGCCGTGGTGGCTGTTACCCTAGTAGGTACAATAAAAGTATTAATTAAATTATATGATTTAAACAGATTAAGCAAACGTTTACTTGAACTACAGTTGTCAAGCAAATTTACATTAAAGTCTCCACTAACGATCAATTTTTTCTTGGATTTTTGCAATTTGTACAGAACCGGCTCCAATAGTTTTTCTAAGCTATCATATTGAGCTGAAGGAGGGCTATACAAACTAACAATGATAAATTGCTCCAGCTCCACACAAGATACTTGTATAAGGCGTACCACAGAGAGGCTCACTACTCTTTAAATTTAATTTTTTTACTAAGCAATATTAATGAGCCACATATTACAAGAAGCAAAGTAAGTAACAACACAAACTGTCAATTCCAATAACAATCAACTACTACAATATATAGACATAGATATACAAATAGTACCTCCTGTTACCTTTATGTTAATATGCTATATACTAAAATAATGGGGCTTCAAATCTATCTGCCTATTCTTCTTTTGATGCAATCTTTCCACCTCTCTTGGCTGCTGGCCCTTATATAATTTATACATACATGTTTTACTGTCTATATATAAGAATACATAATTTAAAACAACTACCACCCATCTATTAACTGTCAATTTGTGTTGTTATTTTAATATGCTTCAGCTGGAGGTTTTGGATTTGTGCTCAAACGATATTTATTTGGGCAAAGACTGCTTACTGCTTGTTGTTACTAAGGTAACTTATAGATTATGTATCCTCGTAAAAAGAGGCACTCACTCGGCAACGGGACGTAAACAGATTTTCTGTTTTTTATCCCCCCCCCCTTTTTCAGCAAAAAGCAAAGTTAAAAACAGAATTAGAAACATAGTACATAAACGTATTAATTTTTTGTAGCAATCCTCGAAGATGCATTTTGTTTTCAAGCATAGACAATGTGTGGGTAATATATGTTAAAAAGTAAATAATTACTGTTGACGTAATCACCAAATAAGAAAATCAAAGACCTCCCCCCTAAAGTGCTTACGTAATACTTGAACAGCCCCAACTCAGAAAACTGGGTTGACACCAACTAAGAAGGCTCATCATTTTTCTGGACACCCTTAGATACCAAAACGACTGCCTCAAAGAGACCTCGGGGCAGTTCTATTGTGACTACGAGATACACAAATGAATATTTCCACAACTTTACAGGCTCTAGCAGCTCACGAGGATGCAGAGGAAACAGGCGATGGACCTGAAAAGAAAATAACTCGACTCGCGATTGGTGTTGAAGGAAGTTTTGATCCCGAATATGTAAAACGGAAGTACACATACACAGACCACTATAATGTGGTGGTGTTACCTGACTACCACGTGTTCCCGTGGCCTAATGATGCATTACCTGAAGTGGTAAGTCGGAAGGCTACGTTTGATTTAGTATAAAAACTTTTAATATCTTTTTGTATGTTGGAGTCGATTTGATGTGTATCCCCAAGGGAGTCGGTACGGAATAAGTTAAAGGAATTTAATATTATTACACTATATGGTCAATATATTCTTGAAGCCTTGTTGTATGTACAAAAAAATATAAAGTAGTACAATACCCGAAACAGAACAAATCTAAGCGTACGACCAACCTATTATAACAAATTCCCAAGCGAAATTATAAAATTATCACTGAATAAATTTAAAACTATTTACGTAAATTAATCAATCAAGCTTTTTATAAATTAGCTTTATTTAAATAATCCTAATCCTTGGGTTTCTCTGCCTTGGCGATTAAAAAGAGAGGCGGAGAGTTTCTTACCAGTTCTTTTTGCCTCTAGAATCTTCGGCCACACAGAATAGATCCATCTGTTAGATTTAGCCACAAATTGGTAGTGAGGTCACATTTTTCACACTTCCAACCCGACGGTGGTATCTTCGCACCGTTGTCTAGCTGTTTGAGGTTGACTGAGTGACTGAAATTAAAAAATTATATGAAATTGTTTCACCATAATTGGCAATGCACTAATTATGTAAAAAATAATTTATGATTTTATATAGAAAAAGTTATTTCACTCGACTCTTGTTTTAGTGGGTTCGATGCCGGCCTTTGCGGGAGGTGTATTCTCTATATAAAAGGATGCAGGATATAAGTTGTTCAATCCGAACTAGTGATCCCTAGAAACTTCTACTTCTTAACAATTATTCTTATTTTTAACTTTTAATTTAATTTTATTTACATTTTTAATAATTTTACTATACACCTTTACACAAGAGTTCATTACGTACACTGGTAACTTTTTTTTTCTACTAAGTATTTTTTAAATCACTTTTCTTTCTTTTGTTGCGACTGAGGCGCAAACTAGCTGGTGGTCTCTGGCAGAATGACCAGCGCTGTGGAACATTCTGCTCCTCAGCATAATGCTGAGCCAAGGCACACACGCATTACACACTTGAAACGAACCGAATGGAAAAAGGGATTCTTTTTATTTTTTTTTGATCTCTCATTTTATTTTTTTCTTTGATTATGTGTTTATGTGTGTTTGGTTTTTTTTTGCAATAAATGTTATATCTTATGTCTGTCTAGAAATGTTAAGAAATTTACTTACACGGAAACCTCTCTTTTTTCTCCATCCCAAGTGCCTTGCAATGCAGCCATTTCGGCTATTTTGAATGGAGATTCCGCATCTATGATTCCTTGACCCGACATCTTGACCTGAAGATTATGTTGAGTATATTATGCCGTCCGCACATAGATTAATTTTCAAGTAAGTCACATAGTTAATTTAATTAATTAAAAAAGAAGAATACTATTACAGTTGCATACATATTATATATATAAAACACCTATTGAGTACTTAGTTCTGAATTGAAATTCTTATAACCAATCAATGGGATTTTTGATAAATATTGCTTGCTCTGTAAGTAACATTACAGTACTATTACAGTTTACTCTTAGTCTTTGGACATGAATAAATTGTAATTATTTTTCACCTTTCTCAAAAATAGGTAACCAAGAACACTTATGAACGTCAACAGAAAAGATGTTAAATTGATTCTAAATTTATTGTCTATGGGTGGTGGTATCACTTAACATCATGTGAGCTTCCTGCCCGTTTGCCCCTTGTTAATAATTATATTGTTAGGTATAATATTAGGTCCTTACATATGAAATTGGCGTTTTGTATGGGAGGAACAAAAAGTCGAATATTTTTAAATATAATATATTTAATTAATCAAAGTATGAACCATTGTTTTCTATGCACTTTTGCCATCTCATAGGTTCATTGATCCCTTTACTAAAAAAACCAGTCGGACGGGAATCAATAAAATCTGTGAAGGCGATTTGGACTGCCCCATCAGAGTTAAATTTTTTCTCTTGCAAGAAGTTGTCCAAATTTCGAAAAAAATGGTAATCTGTTGGAGCAAGGTCCGGGGAGTATGGAGGATGTCTTAGACATTCCAATTGAAGCTCTTCTAATTTGGTAGCTGTCTGTTGTGCAGTGTGTGGTCTAGCGTTGTCGTGAAGTAGCAGTGGCGTGGAGCGATTGACCAGCCTAGGTTGTTTAGCCGCTAGCTTTTCCATCATGGTTTGCAATTGCTGACAATAGACATCAGCCGTAATAGTCTGGCCAGATTTGAGAAAACTGCAATGAACAATACCGGCACTAGTCCACCAAACGCTTACAAGTAATTTTTTTGGGGTTAATTTTCGCTTGGGGCAGGATTTGGCTGGCTGGCCAGGATCCAACCATTGCGCTGAGCGCTTACGATTATCGTAAAGAATCCATTTTTCATCACAGGTAATGATTCGGTTTAAAATACCTTCATTATTGTGCCTTTTCAGTAATGTAATGCAGCAGTCGACGCGCGTTTGCCGGTTTGCTTCAGTCAATTCGTGAGGTACCCATCTTTCAAGCTTTTTAATCTTCCCAATTTGCTTCAAGTGAATTAAAATAGTTTTATCACTAACACCGCAGCCTGCAGCTAACTCGGACGTGGTTTGCGATGGATCCACTTCCACAATAGCCTTCAATACTTCGATACCTCCCACGTAAGTTGTTGTATCTCCAAAACTGCAATTTTACTGTAGAGCGTTTCAAAGATTCAAATTAACCCAAAATCTGCATTTATTGTTGCATCTTTTCAAAATTTCGTATTTAATGTAATATAATTAGTCTTCTTAACTATGTTAAAAGAAATTTTAAGTAATATGTTGCGGAGATATTGTTCATACAACATTTTACTCCGGAGTAGAACCTATGCCAGTTGTTGCATCTGATACTAACAACATTATACCGCGGCGCCCAGATAGCATCACTTGTGGTATATGATAGTTACAACTGTATACTTTGAAAAACATAAGTCTGACTCTGTTGTATGTGGTAATTATATTTATATTAGGTACAGAATTCAAATGTACAATTGAAACTCTTCTTAAGAACTAATCAAATAGAATTACAAAAATCAACATCACTATAAAAAATAAAAATAAAAATATGAACTTAATTAATCATTTATATGAGATCAGCTTAAAATCAAAGTAGTAATTTGGAAACTATTTATAATTTTTGGCATGTACTTATTGGTTTATAATAATGATAAAGAAATTTAAAAAAAAAAAACAATTGTGTTAATTGTCAACCTAAAAAACCTAAAATTAGCTTTTATGGGAGCCTTAAAACAATGTAAAACAAATAAATATTATTTTTATGAGATCAATATTAAAACCTGAGAGGCTTAATCAAAGGCAATATAGAAAAAAGAAAAATAAATGGAATATTTGGAAAAGACTAATGTCTATTCTGAATCAGAAAATTCAGCATTATAACGCCAGCAATGAAAGATTAGCCTGAAAAAGTCGTGATACGTAGTTGGAATAATTACAGTATGACACAGGTTCATTAAGTCGTCATATTTTGCCTTAGTTATGGGAAGACGGTTGGAATACAAGGGGCATAGCTCAGCCATACTATTCCTTTGGCGTCTACGGGTATTGGTATTAAGAGCAATTGTCATAGCATTACTGTCTGCCAAATCGTACCGATACATTTTTAAAAGGATCTTCTGCACATACACTTACTTCTTTTATTTTATTCCATATAACTACGTTCCCATTTACATTTTTAGACCAATTACGTCCAATCAAAAGTGTTTTATAGTTTAAAAAATCTGTATGCTTCATTTCTATGACGTTATATGGTTTGCCCTCCTGTTTCGCCCATCGAACCAAGCTAAACCATTCAAAGGGTGTATAAATAAGTTTATTTTTGGACGAACGTTCTATTAGAGCATGTACGCTATCACCTTCTGCCTGGGTGTGACCTTTTTCAAGAAATGTATGTTTGATAGTAATATTTATTTATTTATTTATTTATTTATTTATTTATTTATTTATTTATTTATTTATTTATTTATTTATTTATTTATGCACCAACAAAGTAAACACTAATACAAGCAATGTAACACAAACACAAACACAAGCCAAGTGCTACCCCAATTATAGGCGCATACAACATTCTAAAGTTTTATAAACACATTAAAAGAAGAAAAAATAAAGTTAAGATAAAATAAAATAAAATAAAATAAAAACATTACAAAATTAATTGAATTAATTGAATAACCCCATAGTCTTAATGAGTAATCAGCTGAGCCGCTAACTTTTTGAAAATTGATGGGGAGTTTGAAAACAGATCTATTTGGGGGAATTCACGACCCCCCCATTGCGATCCAATACCACCATCAATTTCAACGCTATGAATTAAATTATAACTCCTTAAAGATCTATTTAATGGAGCATTCTGACCCAGATTCGATTTTGCAAACTTAATTCTGAAAGGAGGCTTTGCAAATCGTTGCAGCTTTTTAGGAACAGAAATGTTTACTCTGGACAAGATATCAGGGGTATCCAAAATTCCATTTATAAGTTTATACAGAAACATGATATCAAGCAGCTCTCTACGATGACGAAGTGATTTAAGGTGAAAATGTAATAGACGATCGTTATAACTAGGAAGTTTCCTAGCCATGTTGCAACCATAGGATAGGTGCCATAAAAATCGCTTCTGTACATTCTCCAAGCGCTTGATATAGATACCGTAATGCGGATTCCACACAGGACTGCAATATTCGAGAATACTACGTACGAGACATGTGTAAATTGTAACATTAGTGCTGGGATTCCTAAATTCCTTACAATTACGCAGGACGAAGCCCAACATCCTAAAAGCCCTATTTGTAATATCATCAACATGCAAGTTAAAACGCAATTTACCATCCAGAATCACACCTAAATCCCGAGTATGGCTGACTTCCTTAAGAAATGCCTGATTAATATGATAGACTCTGGTTGGCGAGCGTTTTTTCCTGCTGAATCGAACAACATGACATTTTTCAGGATTCAAATTCATTCCGTTTAAACTACACCACATTATCAAATTGTCCAGATCATTTTGCAGTGACATTGCTTCCTCGGGTGAGTTCACAGTTCTATATAATTTTAAATCATCAGCGAACATCAAGAATTTAGACCCTTGAACGCAGCTTCCGATGTCGTTAATGAAAATATTAAAGAATAATGGACCTAAGTGTGACCCTTGAGGCACTCCAGATATGGCAGTGAATTCTTTGGATTTGTACCCACCAACTACAACTACTGACTGCCTATTTGACAGGTATGATCTGCACCAATTTAAAAATATGCCATCAATTCCAATAGAGGAGAGTTTGTGTATCAACATAACATGGCTCACCCTGTCGAAGGCCCTGCTGAAATCGGTGTATATTGCATCATATGATTGCCCACGATCAACCCCCTCAGCAAGATCCTCCACGAAGGAAACCAAATTAGTCGACGTGGAACGTGACTTATCGAATCCATGCTGTTCAGGTGCGATAAAATGTTTGAAGTGACTCGATATTATTGGGCACAAAATAGATTCAAAAACCTTCGCGAAAGTTGGAAGTATAGATATAGGTCTATAATTTAATACCGCACTCGTGTCACCACTTTTGAACAATGGTATTACAAGAGCACTTTTCCAAACCGTTGGGAATATTCCAGAGTTAAGAGAGCTATTAATAATAATGCTGAGTGGTAGTGCTAGTTCACTAGCACATTTTATCGCAAAAATAGAAGGTATTCCATCGGAACCAGCACCTTTCGAAGGGTCCAGTCTTTTTAAAACTCTGAAAACTTGATCAGTAGTTACCGATATTGAAGTTAAACAATTGGTTGACGAACTAGACTGGCCACTGATCGATATGTTGTCCGAGTTGTATACCGACGAAAAATGTGATGCGAAAAGATTGCAAATGTCTGACCCCGACGAAGCTACTTCATCACCTAAAGACATCCGGGCAGGGTAAGAGCTTATCCTTCCTCTTTTTTGCTTGATAAAGCTCCATATAAGTTTTGGATTCGTAGATAATGAAGTCTCTAAGCGTTTTAAATATAATCTATAGCTTAAGTTATGGAGTTTTGTACATCTATCCCGTAGCATTTCAAAAGTAATTAAATCTCGAGGATTTCCGTATTTGCGATATTTGGTGCGATATTTGAATTTTTCGTTGATTACCTTCACCAGTGCCGCGGAGAACCATATTGGATATTTACTAGAACGTGGTTTGGATTTTGGAACATGTTTAGAAATTATAACTCTAAGAATTTTATAGAACTGTGCTACCATATCGTCAACGCTAGCACAATAG